ATTGAGGCCATAGCAGTTCCAATACTATCATAATTTTACTCATGAGCATAGCTGCTGTCAGTTTTACGTCATAGAATATCATTCATAAGTCCTTGATCTTGATGGATTAATTTATGGTTGGAACAGGGTGCTATGTTTCATAGTCATTTTGTTAAATTATATGTTAGTATGTAAAACTTAACATGTCATAAGACAACACGACGTTAGAGACCCATTTTGGGTGTGCTTTTCTCTTCAAAAAGCATACCAACTAGCATGACCTAAATCTGAATTTCCTATAGGCAATTTGTTCTCCACTTATTAAAGAGCAAGCTTGCACATCATCCCCATCACTACTTCCTTTTCTCAGTATCATTATTATATATAACAGGTTGATCCATTAGTGCCAAGCACTGTGCCAGGGAATTGCTTGTAAATTTTTCGTAATATTTTTATTGATTATTTGGGAATTTCACATGGTGAACACTGAGTACACTCATTTCCCAGTCATCCTAGATCAGGTGTCTCTTATACCCACCCCCCAAAAAAGAAGAAAAGAAAAAAGCAAGACCAATTTGTGTTGACCATAACTCACTAAAGCACGCTCAAACTCCTGGTGTCCAGCCCCTTAAAGAAAACTGAGTCCTTCCCCACTCGCACCTCTGCCTGAATCCATCAGTTGTGGATGCTACAATTCAGCAGTTTTATCACAGGTTTTAAGAGTTCTCCTTAATGGTTTTCTGTCAAGGCTGTTATTTTTGGGGGTAGAGGTTGTCACAGAGGCCTTCTATGTCCCTCTTTCTCAACTATGAGTCTGCAGTCATCGATACCATGTCAAAAGTCACTTCCTTACACCTTAGAGTCATCAGGAGAATGGATTATGTACTTAGTAGCTAAATGATCTTGCATATATTATTCCAGCAAGGAAGATATGCTAAACAACTGAGTTACAGAAATAATTACTTCAAAATAGAGCTATTGAGTGAAGGAAGGAAGCTTAGCATTCAACAGGAGTAAACAGTGTGCAAATAAGATGGAAGTCTGACGTTATGTGGGAGGACTGGGACTGTCACGGATGCCAAGCCTGCACTGAGTCACCACGGATGTGATAGGAAGTCTCATAATTTACTTCATCCTTATACATCATTTCCTTCTATCTGCTCCATTTCAAACACAGCCCTCCTTCTACCAGCCCCCCAGGCTTAAACTCTTCATATGTCTTTAATATTTGTTTTCCTTTGCCTCAAGGAATAATTAGATGTTTCCTTGAGTCAGATATTTTTTCCTTTGTTCTAGCAAATGTCTGAATTCTTGGTCTCTCAACACTGATTACATTAAGTGCTACTTTTCCCCCTGATAATGTTGTTTGCTTTATTTCACGCAACCTACTCCGACCAAGGCCTTTCTGGCATGCCAGGATTCAGTCTTGGTGCCACAGAAGCAGACACGACAGAGCCTGCCCCTGCTACAGGAGAGAGGTGTTGAACATGTAGAGACCTTGAGGCATCCTACAGAAAGTCTTCTTCCTCATAGAGGAAGGAGTGTTCTGGCCAAAGCCAAAAGGGATGGGCAGAAATAATCCAGATGCAGGTGAGACACAGAACTGTGCAAGGAGCATCTATCGAAAGAGGGCACACATGCTAGGGTCTGCAGGCTTGAGGTGGGGCAAGATAATGACAGCAGAGATGAGTGGTATTCTGTGGTGCTGAGCCTTGCCAATTGTTTGAAAGAATTCTAATTTCCTCCTAAGAATCTGAGAGCCACTGAAGTCCAAAGCGGGATGGTGATGTGAGCAGAAACATTCCTACAGCTGTTTGTGGCCTGCCAAGAAAACCAAGGGATAAAACAAAGAAAAAGAGGAAATATGGCTACAGGATGAAGCACTCCAGCTCCTCCTCCCTTCCAACCAATCTTCTTGCCTGCAGTAGTCCAACCAATCCTGTGACAGACTGTTGCTAGATGAGTCCTTAGCAAATATTCAGATCTCAGCAGAATGACTCTTAATGGACTGCTCATGGAATAATTCAAAATTCCTCACCCTGTTATTGAAAGCATTCAGGGTTCTGACCCCACCCTACCCCTGCTTCAGAGCTCTGTCATCCATGCTTCTTTTTGTTTACTCTTCCTTGCTATAGCCATACACTCTAAACATTTCTACAGCACCTTCTGACTCGCCCGGTCCAGCTGTGATTTGCCCTGCACACTCACAGCTGCTCCTCCTTAGGCCCTTGCTTAGATGCCCATCTTCTTAGCTGAAATAAGTCCAATTTCTCCGAAATAATTTGCCCTTCCTCCAAATCCTCCTTATGCTTTAGGTCATAGGTTAATGACGTCAGTCCCTTCCCACTAAGAGAGTGCTTAGAGAGGCGAGTAGGTATAGATAGCTCTCATAAGCCTCAATTTTGAACAGAATGTCTGCATTTAGACCCTGTCGCTACACCTCCAACTATGAGATCCTGGATGCATTGTTTCAGTCCTCTGCGCTTCACTTCTCCTCTATAAAAGTTCATAGGTCAAAAGCGCTGTGAGGATGACATGAGCCCAGGTGTGTAAACCATGCCAATGACTCCTATGCAATATTTCATATGGATGTCATTTTTTGTCATACATTTTACATCTGTTCTATGCACTTATAACTTTTGTGAAAATCTAATTAGCATTTAAAGCTTCTAAGTTCCTTTCTGAGTAAATAAATATTGAATATATCAATTAAAATAACAATGTTTGGTGAGTCCTAAGGGCTTTCAGATAGTCCATTTTTAAAATTACTTTTCTTTAAAAAAACTCTAAATAGATTGTTAAGAAAATATTGCAAGATTTTTCTATTTGTAAAGTACATACAGAAACCCATGCCCTTCTATAATTCTACTTTTGGTGTAGAGATTAAGATATAAAAGACATGGAAAAGCTCTATAGCCAATGTGAAGCTAGAAACTGAAAAGGAAGAGAGACTGGGAGGGCAGAAAATCATCCCTTGGAATAATGGGGTGTGATTATAATGCAATGGGAAACTGTGATTTTAACCACCAAGAATAACCAGCAGCCAATTTTACTGGATGCCCTTTGCACCCACTGCTACTTAGCTCTTCCCCTCTGCCTATTCCTTTCCCTGATGAACTTACTGTGCAGGGGAAGCTTTCTCATAACTAAGAACTGTGTGCCCCCAGAAATCCACACTGCCAGAATGATTTCAGAATCCATTTCTCTGCTAATCGTTGAGATTTATGTGTTTTCACTTCACTACTCTGGGTTCTCTAGTCTCTAACTTGCCATTTCTTTTTGCTGTGAGAAGAAACAAGGTGTTCCCCAAACCTTTAGTCATATACAAAGAGTTCTTAGTCCCCAAGTTCTGTCTTCATCTTCAGCATCAAATCGGTACTAAGCAATGACACCTGCTTTGCAGAACTGATAAATACTGCTGCCTTCATGTGCAAAGAAAATATTCCTAAAATTAGCTAGATAAAATTTGTTGTACAAATTTACAAAATTTTAAATGGTTTTATATTTCTGTGTGTTTTCTGAATTTGAATCTTTTTCTTATAAAACTTAAAGGCAAGCTTTTATGTGTATATTCATACTCTCTCTGTACACAAACATGCGTGCGAGCATGCACACATACACACGGTACATAGGAAAATTAATGATATATTTTGTATAAGTGGAAGAAAGTTGCCACATAATTCCAGAACACATAGCATGGTGATGTTTTGGGTATGTGCCTACTTTTATCTTTGAAAAGTGTCTCCTGGAGACTTTTGTCCTCCTCTTTTCCAGTTCCCTAAAATATTCCTTCTGCTTCTCAAATAGTTGAGAAATGGGCAAGAGCTATAATTAATATCATCCTAGAGTCTACACAGAGAAGAGGAACTTTGCTTGTGCAGTGGTTAAGAGAAATGTTAGCTGTCCGCAGTAGTCATGCTTCCAGTTTAAAAAGCCAAAGGAAACACTCAGGCTTTTGGCTACTACCAGAATTTCTGAGCCGGGCAGTGGTGGCGCACGCCTTTAATCCCAGCACTCGGGAGGCAGAGGCAGGTGGATCTCTGTGAGTTCAAGGCCAGCCTGGTCTAGAAGAGCTAGTTCCAGGACAGGAACCAAAAGCTACAGAGAAACCTTGTCTCAAAAATAAAAAACAAAACAAAACCAAAAACAACAACAACAATAACAACAACAACAAAGAGTTTTTGTTATGATGGTGCTGACTTCGGCAGAATCATTTCATACCTGTTGATCCAGGTAATTGCAAGTCTTCCCTTGCAGCATCATTCATCCTCTAGTACTACCCAAGGCTCCCTGGCAAATCAGACTGAGTTTTCCATGAGTATGTACTGAAATTTACATAGCAGTGTATGAGAGCCAGTGGAGTGTCCTGTACAAGTCCTTTGTCCCATAGAGTTGGTCACTTGTCCTGTGGCCCCACTGAAGCTGCTCAGATGCCTGTTGTAGCTCCTATGTTACATTAGTGTAATCCATGGCATTCATGTCTCTCTCCTGCTTCTTTTTTACTTCAACAACTCACAGGAGGACATCCGGAATATTTCATTTCTGTTTATTGAAACTTTGAAGCAAGATGCAGGGAGTTAGTGAAATCGTTGGTCCATGTTCTGGTTTGTAGGAGGGCTGGAGTGGTGGGTAGATTGTTGGGAGGCACAGTATGGACAACCTTGTAGGGGCTGCCTCACACAGGGAAAGGGCGCAGGAGAACAGGAAAGGCTGTAGTAGAGGAAGACAGAGGGAAGCAGTCTGCAAGGTTGTGTTGAAAAGAAAGATGTTTGCATGCTACAGACTTGGAAACAGGTGATCAGAACTCCTTGAAATTAGATTTCAAGAATTTAGAATTCACTAAAATCAGTAGAGACCCTGTAGTTCTTCTGTCTCAGTAACGAATTGACAGAGCATTTTGAAGAACTCTTTCAGTGAGTGTATGCTTATGTCAAAATTAATGCATATTAAGCACCCAGTTATACAGTACTGTGGTAGGGCAGCGATTGACGCTGAAGGTCTCTCTCTGTTTTGTCCCACAGGTTGTTATTCTGTACTTTGAGCCAAGCACATTCCGCTGTATTCTCCTAAGGTGGGTCCGTCTTCTCGGCTTTGCCACTGTTTATGGAACTGTGACTCTCAAGCTTCACAGGTATGTTATACTTCATCAACCTTCATTTCTGCAGAGGGATCCGTTTATTTGGTTGGGCAACTAATTGTTAACTGGGCCATTATTCACCAATGGAAAAAAGCAAGATGATTTACGCACGTATATTTCACATATCCACTTGACAACAGCTAGAGTGATCTGGGAAGGGGAGCCTCCACTAAAGAACCTCCTCCATTAGACTAGCCAGAAGCAAATCTGTGTGGGCTTTATATGGACTAATGATCATGTGGGAGGGTCCAGCCCACTGTGGGTGCTGCCACTCCTGAGCAGGTGGTGCTGAGTTGTATAAGAAAGCAGGCTGAGCAAGCCACGAGGAGCAAGCCAGTAAGCAGTGCTCCTCTCTGGCCTCTGTTTCAGTTCCTTTCTCCAGCTTCTTGACCTGCTTGAGTTCCTGCCCTGCGTCCCCTCAGTGATGGACTGTTTGCTGGATGTGTCAGATGAAATAAACCCTTTCCTTCACAAGGTGTTTTGGTCATGGATTTATCACAGCAAAAGAAACCTAAGACACCCTCTAGAAATGTATTTCATTCTTTGGGCAATCTTTAAAGAACTGAACTCTTCAAACAAGGTGCTATAAGAAACTGTGTTTCTGTTAGAGAATGAAGTTACTCTGAAAAAAAAAAAACCCAACACTGTGGGGATGTTAACAGTATTGACTCACTAAAACAGGATGGAAAGAAAATAAAGTCGAAGTAATGGGTACTATCACTGCTATACAGAAGTCAGCAATACACCCATTGTACACAAATGTTGTCTTCCCTTCCCAAATTTCATGCCCCAGGATAACCCTGCTGACATTCCATGGTAAAGTTATTCTTTTAGTGGTTTTGGATAACAAACTGGGAGGCTCTTCCCTGAGGAAGACTAATTCTCCTGCTCTAAAAATTTCTTAGTTGCCTGTAGTTATTTGTTTGCGATTGGGGCTCCCCAAGATTTCCCCTTCCATGTTAGTATGTCTATTGATATCATCCTTGTTCAAGTCAAAAATTGCACAAATGTAAGTAACATTATATAGACTAAGTGGGCTGTGTTTATGTAGTTTGGAATATATTTTACATATAATGTATACATATACATCATATATATGTAACAATAATTAAAGAAAAAGAGGCCATGAATTTGAGAGACAACAAGGGGATTTCAGAGGAGTTTAAGGGAGGGAAATAATATATTTTATTATTTAAAAAATATTTAAAAGTTATTTTACCATTCCTTCAGGGTTTATCAGCCTTGAAAATTGAATGATACTGTTTCCTTACATTGAGTTCAAGGCCACCTAAATATGAAAATAGGACAATAAAATAAACTTCCTGTCCACAGTGCTAGGGATGGCTGGAAATACTAGGTTTTCCCTTCCATCTTACCTGCAATTTTAAAAAAAGCCTCGGTGAAGTTGTGCCAAAGGGGAAAGGAGGGAAAATGCCTGCAGGAAGATGCTGAAGTCCTTGGTATGATGAACATGAGGCAGTTCTGGTGACTGTGGAGCCCCCTGCCTTGTAACCACCTAGCCAGAAGTATTTCTCAGTCAAGGTAGCTCAAGCAAGGCTTACTTTCAATGATAGGTGTTATGTTTCTTTGGTCTCATTCATTGCAATCTTTTTGAAAATATATTTATCTCCCATACAAGCCAACCCTCCCTCTTACCTGCCTCCCTTCCCGTTTTCTTCCATCTTTCTCTCCCTTCCTTCATCTCTTCCTGTCTCCCCATCTTTTTCTCCTTTCCTTCCTCTTCCTATTTCCCTTCACCTTTCTCCCCTTCCTCTTCTTCTATTTCCCTCTGTTTTACTCCCCTTTTTTTCTTTTCCTGTTTCCCCTCTCTTTCTCTCCTTTTCTTCCCCCCTTCCTGTTTCCCTCCAACTCTCTCTCTCTCCCTTCCTTCCTCTCTTCCTGTCTCCTTCCATCTTTCTCTCCCTTCCTTCCTTTCTGGTACTTAATCACTGAGATCTAGGTCAGATCATCCACAGCACTCAGGATTGCTTTCACATACACAGTAGAGTTAGAAACTTTATGGTACTGGGCTTCAGGAGAACAAATATAAATGTAAATTTACCTTCAAATGCTAAGAAATCATAGGCTTATTTATCTTACAAAAGAAAAGGAAAGAACAATTGGAATGGTTTTCCTGGATCTCCTTTTAACATGTCAGCATATATGTCCTACTGTAATGCCCTCCAGGTTTCCGTTCCATATATAATTGCTATCTGCCAACTAATGCTCACCAATACAAGACATCATGGACAATCTACAATGAGCTGTAAGCCTTCTAGAATCACGAAGGAATTGCCTACTTGTAACTAGATCAAGACCTCGCTTGCTACTAGACTAGCACTTCCTGTCTGTTATAATATTTTCACAGCTTTATTATTTTTTAATTTAGTGGTAGCCTTCATTGTAATTTATGTTCTTCTTGAAGTGAGTGAAAGTCTAGTCATTGAATCCCAGGAAGTCCTGTGACGTACATGTTATAAGTGCTTAACTCATTAGTAGATGAACGAATGAACAAACTAACTAACGAATGAATGAATGAGAAATTTAATTACAGTTCTCTAAACTTCTGCTCATATTTCATTCATATTCCCTGACTCAGCATACAGTAATTCAGGGTGACCCAAGTACTTGGAACATAGAACACTGGCCTGCAGAAAGATACTTGATACAATTTGAGGGCATCATTAAAGAGCACCAAATCATAAAATGAGAAGATTAGGTTCCCTTTAGTCCTCCTGATTCTTCCCAGCAGAAGGGCGAGTTTTGAGCATCTTGGCTTTTCCTAGCACCTGTCATAGCACTGCTGGTCTTCATCTGGAAGAGAGCAGAGCACCCCACAGCCTTGGAGCTGTTCCCTGAAGGGCCATGTCCTTAAGAGTCAGCATCCTCTTCTACTATATTTGTTTCCATAACTGCTAATAGTTTATAGAAAATATTAGCTGGGTTTTTCTTTATAGTAACAATACGAAGTTCCTTTTAAAATACTTTAAAAGCAACCAATTGTGGCTGATTTAAAGAGGGTATTAACTGATTCTGGTACAGCAGCAATCCTGGAGGCTTTTGAAATAATTAGAATTTTGGAAACTGGTTTCTTAATCATCTTTTGCTTATTTTGAAGACTGGAATGGAAGCTGTTTCCATTGTGTGTCTCTAGAAATCACTACAGGGAAGAAGAATTACTTTGCTGAAGGCTTAAAACTGGGGGAAACTTTTCCAAGTTAATTAGTAAAATTACTCTAATTCTAATCCTGTATGAATATCATGGTCTTACTCATGTATTTGTTTTTCTTTTTATTGCCTAAATTTAGCAAAATCCATTTATAAAGTTCATTTATAAACTGAGCCATTAGCATTCCTAGAAAGTGTGAGCACTTGAAGAGTATGGCTGGCCATTCCAGTTCTGTGCTCGTGCTGGACTGCCATGACAAAACACCATGACCAAGAACAACTCAGTGGGAGTGGGGTCACTTGCTCACCCTTCCTCCTCATCCTGTTTATCCATTAAAGAAGATGAGGCAAGGTAGGAATTCAAGGAGGAGCAGAGACAGAAACCACAGAGGAATGCTGCTAACAGGCTTGCTTCTCTTGACCACACCCAGCTATTTATTTTATACAACCTAGGCCCACCTCCCTACACTTGGTGCTGTCTACAGGGTTCTGGGTTCTCCCACTTCAATCATCAGTCAAGACAATGTCCCTAAGAGCATGCCCATAGGACAATCTGATGGATTCAATTTCTCAACTGAGCTTCCTTCTCTTCCAACGTCTCTCGTTTGTCTGAACTTGACACAAATTAACCAGCACAGCTCCCATCTTCAGTGATGGACTGTTTATGGTGGGCAATGGATTTAGTATACTGTACTTAGTGAGGGGTCACTGTATTTGATGTACTGTATTTGTTAGATGGTGGTCTGGGTGTGCTGTATTTGATGCACTGCATTTGTTAGATGGTGGTCTGGGTGTGCTGTATTTGATGTACTGTATTTGTTAGATGGTGGTCTTGGGTGTGCTATATTTGATGTACAGCATTTGTTGAAGGATGGATGGCTTTAGTGAATGGAGCTTCAGCAGATGCTTTCACTGGATTTGAGTTAAGAAGGACTTCTTTTATAAGGATACAATGGAGAAGAGTGACAGAAATTTTGATAATTCTAGATTTTAATTTTAGTTCTTTCATTATTTACTTACACAATCAAAACCTCTAGTTGGAATTTTCTTTGGACCACCAACTAGATTCCCAAATAAAGACATGGAGACTTGTTAATTATGAATGCTTGTCCTTAGCTTAAGCTTGTCTCACTAGCACTTTTAACTTAATCTAACCTGTTTCATTTTGTCTACATTTTGCCTCAGGGATTTTTACCTTTCTTTTATTCTGTATGCCATACTTCCCTGCTTCCTCCATGTCTGTCTAGCTGGCCCCTGGAATCTTCCTGCTATCTCCTTTCTCCCTCCTCAGTCTAAATTCCTCCTCCTACACACCCTCTCTGCCAGAAGCACTACCTATACCTCTTTCCTCGCTATTGGTCATTTAGCTTTTTGTAAGACCAATCAAGAGCCTTAGTCAGGCAAAGTAAAGCAGCAACACATCTTTACATAATTAAACAGCTATTCTACAACAAAAGACAAATAATTTTGACTTCTAATAATTAGTTTCATCATCGATAAATTGTTATCTCACCTGTGAGATTGTAAGGATGGCATTCAGTTTGAATATGTCAGGTAAGGGAATAGATCCTTGGAGCAATATAGGCAAGGACTCAGAATTAGAGGGAAAGGCAGAAAGCCAGGTCCCAGCAGGCTCCTGTCCAGGATCTCAAAGGTCAAAATAGTCTGTCCTAGAGGTCAGCATATCTTGATATCATAGACCCATTCTCATGGAAGCTTCATTTCCATGTTTAGATTCTCATTTTTTTTTTCACAAGGAAAAGAAAATCTTGCTTCTGTAAGCAGAAAATTCTAGGAACTTGTGAGTGTCGTTATATAAATGGCGT